AATGCATTTGAAAGAGGTGCAAATAATCTGTATGATGTTTCCATTTGCATCGTGTTCGAACTGGTACTCAGTTTTAGGCGAATGCAGACCGTAATGGGATAAAATATGGATTCTGAGATTCCTGAGTCACTTTTCAAAGCAAGCGACTCTCTATAAAAATATTGTGACAGCTGTAAAGATAAAGGTTTATAATTGTCGCATATAAACCGACAGCTTATAGCGGAAATCGTAGATGGTGATACACCGAAGTTTTCCTATTCACAAGAGATTTCACTCCAAGTATTTCTCGCTATTTTATCATGGGAGGACTCTTTCAATGCCAAGATTACATTGATTCATAATTAGTGTAAGCTTTCCTCACTTCTTCTTTAACGTTCATTCTTAAAGGGAATTCATTTTTCTCAGAAAGTAGCTGAAGTATCTAAAAGCTCGCATCTTATGTGTGTTTTCGCTTCCTCAAATCATAATTCATTCCAAAATTCCATGTCTTTAAGACTAAGATGCTGAGGCTTAGAATTCTTTCCTCTCTCCTTTCTTTGGAACCCTGAAACTTGGTCAGATTTAGGCGCAACGATTGCGGAATTTCATATTACAGAATGCTCAATGAGGTTAATTTTTTGAGAGAGCAAGGACCGAGAAATCTGGACTCCTCGGCTGGACGCTGGGGACATGTTTGCTGTACAAAAATTTTAGGGAAAAAAAGGATACGCATACTTTTGCTCTGTTTAACTAGACTGAACCTGGTATATTTATGACAAGGCAGATTTTCTCGTTTACTAGAGGAGTAAAAACTAGAAAATTACAGAAAGCGGTTTTGGTCTCCCCTAAACTGAGTGCTTTCGAGTTTTTGCAATATTTCCTCGCAAAAGAAATCGTAAGCAATCGTTAGCAATGGGTAAATTAGAAAAAAGTATGTATTGCATAGCCGTGGGTCTGCTGTTTGAAACAGCTCCTGTGGCGTTTTGTTGATTTGCATTGGAAGATACCCTTTACTTCAACCAGATTGGCTGTTGGAAGGCGGGGCATCATAACCTGAGAAGCGACTGCTTGCGTCCGCGACGCAGACTGCGCCTCCCTCGCGAACATGTTCTCTGATCAGTTTCTAGCCTTAACTAGGTCACGGAGCCCCGCCTTCCAGCCGCCGATCTGGTTGAAGCAAAGGGTAACTACTATGTTTAGATGGTGACTATTAAAAATTGCGTTGATCATAAATTTACCTATAATTATAGTTCGAAAAGAGATCGCAGTGCACATGCAAAAAATGCCCCATCTTTCAGCATTGAGATAACCTGCTGTCAGGATTTATATCTGAGATTTATTTTCGTTTATTACTAAAGAGGGCTGACGATGAAAAGTTCAGGCCTCAATTGGCAGCTACTTGTCATATGTTTTTTGTGCTGCTAATTATCAGTAGTGCCCTTTTTCTACAGAAACACACAGGACATGTAGACGATTGCGCACCAATGACAATGCACTTGAGCTTGCCCTCCTGAAAAAAACACTCATACAATTGCCCCTTATGATTAATTACCCTCTAATTTGAGTCGACTCGAAATATCTTCCACTTGTGCATAATCTTTTTACACATTGTGAAATGTTTCACTTTCAGAAATTGTTATAGTAAAAAACTGCCGCAACCAGAACTATCCTAACCTCTCGGAAACTCTTAAGTTACCAAATCTCTGCAAGTTGCAAGAAAAAGTAAATTATAGTTGTTCTGATGGCAGCCATCATTCAATTCTTGCAGGCTTTTTTTTCTAAGCTTCCTGAGCGATTATCATACATAACAGCAATAAAGCTTCGGAGAAAAAATAACGTGATTGATGCACATGAGCTTGTATGTTCCAATAGTCGAGGGAGCTGCACAGGGTAAAACTCACTTTGCGTTTCAGATGTAATTAGGTTTTTTACGCTCAAACGAAGGATGAAAGGAAAAGGGTGTTCAAAAATGAAGTTGTCAATAAATACAGAATTTTACGTTGATCCAATGCGTCAAAAATGGATGGTACACATCATGGGATTGATACAGTTAAAAGTACCGTAATAGTACTAAAGCTTTCCCCTTCTCTTGTTGTTTTTTTATGAGATGCCTACTTGTTTCGTTTGCAAAGTAACTAATCCATCATTCGAGTCTTTACAAGGAATCAGAGCTGCTCAAAACTCACATTTGAGGTAGCTCAAACAAAGCCAAATGTTTTTTTTCTCTGTTTACATAAACTTCCTTTTGCAGCAACATGTACAGTCACACTATTCTATAAATCTGAAATACAGGGTGTCCCAAAAAAAATGTGAACACTTGATCCTTAATAACTCCGTTGCTTTCACGTCTTTCACCGAGCTTGAGGCACCATTCTGTAGAGCGAGGTTCATTTTGAATTTGTAGTATGGAACGAATTGCTGATCTCTCTTCGTTAATGTAGGATTACGGCATGAACTTCTAACATGTGGATCCATTGTGAAAATGCCATTTGACAAACTTTTTTTCAAAAATTCTGAAAAATCGTGTACTAGGGTTTTCGCTCACGCTGATTGCACTACACAACTTTTTACGAGTGTTTTTAGCTTTTTGACGATGTAATCACACTTCTGACAAATGCTGGTAATTCAATTATACGGTTTACCTGGGCTAAACTTGGAAAGAAGCATCATAGTAAACTGGAAATTTCATATGCAAAATTAGCGGCTTCTAACCTTTTTGGCTTGTTTGGTTTTGTTCCGAGGCATAAAATGGCCTCCAATGGTTTAAAACCCTGGTCGAAGTTCCTACTGTAATCCTACAGTAATGAAGAGAGATCAATGATTCGCGCCATAATGTAGATCTAAGTTGAACCTCGCTCTATAGAATGGTGCCCAAAGTTCGGCGAAAGACATGAAAGCAAGGGAGTTATTAACGATCAAACAGTGTTCACATTTTTTTGGGACACCCTGTATACCCTAGGCTCCTCCGCTAGCATTGTAGAAGTTTATTCGTATTGATGGATCCTCGCATTTTTCTCATATAGTCCAAACTCGTTGTGTTCTGCAGAGACACATTTCAAATGTCTGGGGCTTACCTTTCAGTTTAATAAAGTTGACGAGAAAATTTTGTTCAGAATACTTGAATATTGGAAATACTGAATATTGGAAACAAATCTAAAAACAACAGTACAAGGAAGCAAACAAATTCAACTTCTGGGATACATTTTCCAGCATTCCTTGTATGAAGAACACAAATATGTCATAAGATTACGTAGACAAACTTTGACCCAAAATTGTGTCGTCATATCAATTTATGAAGGTTAGGAACTTTTTAAGAGACTTCGCTCGTGATATTAACTGCAAGACAGCTCGTCACCAGAGCAAGCTACATATTTTCTAAAAGCAGGAGATAAAGCTGTTTCAGCAAATTTTTTTATGTTGTCCTAGCCAACACAAGCTGTACACTTTTCCCCTAAAACTTGCAAATCTGAAAATCATCAGCATCATCCTTCAAAGTACTTTAAACAATGGAACACAGATAAACTAGGTATTTGCTTTTTGAAAGCGAGGAACGAGGCGGCTCCTACGGCAACTGGTTATCTAGCTGTTCATCTACAGAAGTCACAAGTTTTTCTCAAGGTAATCTTGGGGCAAATAGTGATGCGCTTACTGGGAACAGAAGTCCAACGTTTTTTGAGAACATTCAGAGAGAAATGATATGTGTGGCTAGTACGAGTAGTCCGAAACCAAGAGCGATTGCATCAGGCGTTGCAAAGAAATGAGAAGTACACATTCTCACCTTATGAATATTTTATTTCAACATATTCTGTTACGGCCGTTGATTTCATGGCATGCTTGAGCGAGTTCAGCCGTTAGATATCGAGCCGCTGCTGCTGATTTGTTAACCGAGAAGGGCAACCAAGCATATGCGTGTCTGCTCCGAAGGCCACAGCTCACTCACTTGCTAACTAAAGCGGAATTCAAGTTGTATGCAGCTGTATACATACAAATGAAAAGTACAACATCTGAGTTTGCACCAATACAAAGAACATGAATTTCTTACAACAAGCTGTTGACCAATGATTTCTGCCCTAATAACTGTCAAACCCGTTAAAGTGGGTGAGATATTTGACTACCGTATCTACCCTTTGATTCAGCTGGCTTGGCGGTTGGAAGGCGAGGCTTCGTGACTGAACGCTAGGTAATGATCAGAGAGTACGCGCGCGGGAAAGACGCGACTGCGCCGCGGGTGCGAGCTACCTTGATTAGGTCACAAAGCCCCGCCTTCCAGCCGCCAACCTGAATCAAAGAATACGATGTCCCAAGTACTGATCAGTAAAGCCATATGAACAACTACAGAATGTCCCTGAATTTTCGTGAAGCTTCCACGAAGGAAGCACTCATCAAATCCAAAGAGTTTCGACACAGTTTTGATAGTCATCAATTTTGAGAATGAATGTTACCTCGACGAAACAGCTTTCCCCTGTAGACGCATCATTCTGCAAATTTCAAAGTGGATAATCTGAAGCATCAGGCAAAATTGGTTACATCTCCACTAAGAGAATCCCTTCATTCTGAATGCTTGTTCACAGTGCCGGTCTTTGCCCTTTCCCAATTTTACTGTTTTCCAAGGAATAACTGAAAAAACCATAGCGCTCACCATATCACATAAGATACCGTGTGTTCAGTTAATCTGTGATTTGTTGCTAGTTCGCATAACAAAATTGCTAAGACAAGCTAAATTCTCTCATGCAAAGATTTTTTATTTTTGCTAAAGATTACCCGTAACTTTGTTACTACCTACACCGCTTTTCTTTCACGATAGCAATTCCTTTCGGAAGCTGAAACGTCTTTTTACACTACGTATGCTTGTAAATACAATTCCTCATTTTCATAAACTTTTATCATCATCGACTTTTGCAGAACGTGGATGTCACTAGGTCACAATCTGTCCCAAAGTAGTTTTCCTTTCTTCAACTTTGGAGCTTTGGATATGTTTCAAAGTCAATTTGATCATAGTTGATCGCTGCAAGAACATCATCCAGTGAAAATAATTTATTTCATGACAGCACAAATTAGCAACCCAGCAACGCTGACCAAGCATCGTCGTGACTAGGAGCGCATTAGATTTCGAAATATGGGAACGTTTTCAATGAATCTGGAGCAGTTGACGGCTCGCAGAGATGATTCAGGTAGTCGAAACCCCAACAATGGAAATCAACGAGCTGGACGAGGCAAGCAAAAGCACAGCGAAGCAGATCAGATTCGTGAACGATGCCGATTTGGAATGGGGAAACCTATGTCGACGACGGAGCGTTATGAACAGGTTTACCCGTCGATCAGACTACTAATATAAACAAAATGAAAAAACATTCCATCATCTCACTAACTAATTCTCTATACGCAGCTCAGCTAAACACCGGCAACATCATAAAATGAAAAACAAACGAGAAAAAATCAAAAATTGACTTCTAGTAATATGAATAGAATAAGGAACTGGCCAAAATCTGGACAATGGAGTACACGAGGGAAGAAAGGTGGGAAGAGTTATATGCCCTGAAGAGATTCTAGCAAAGTTATAAACCCGTACTATGGATCACAATTTGAATGTAAAGCGACTGGACGAGGGCGAGTCGCATTTGACTCGGAAGTGAAGCGTTACGGCAATGGTTCCACATAGTTACTAGGAATGAGACCAGTCTTTCCGTTGAGCGTACCAACCAGCCAACCTTCTTCTTTCGACTCATACACTGTAAGATGTTCACGCTTCGGCTCATCATGGAAAAATTGGTATGAAGTTCTCAAATCAGTTATTTGCTCAAAAGGCCTTTTAGAAATCATACGTAACCTTTGATTCAACTAGCTTGGCTTCAGGAAGGCGGGGCTTTGTGACCTAATTAACCCATTGACGACGATGTGGACCACCGGTGGCCTACGCACTTTTTGCCGCCAGGAACGAAGTGGATCACCGGTGGCTCACACCCCTTGCAAAATCATGTCCTTTCCAGGTCTAGTTTTTCCAGAGTTCAGCATTTTTTCCAGTTTTTTGCATTCTTGGAACCTATAGACTTCGTCGTTCAAGAAGATGGCTGTAGTTGCTTACAAAACAATTTTACATTTCGTAAATAAGCACAAAACTTTCCCGCGCCACAATTGTTGTGCAAAATCTCGTCGTCCCACAGCGCCGCCATGCAAAATTAGGCGTCGTCGTCAATGGGTTAAGGCCACTCGCCCCCCCCCCCCCCGCGACGCACCTGCATCTCTCCCGCGCGAGTGCTCTCTGATCATTACCTAGCCTTGATTAAGTCAGAAGCCCCACCTTCCCGAAGTCAAGTCAGTTGAATCAAATGGTATGCATGTATGACGTGAATGTATGATATTTTCACGCCGTGAAAAAGAAATGCGTGGGCGGAGCTTGAGGCTCGTGGGCAGGGTAAGTCATTCCCTAGCCAACATTTCGCATTTTGCGAAAAATCATATAAGGCTTTACGTAAAGCGTAAGCACGTATTAGTGGAGGAAACAGGGGAGGGCTTCATCTTTCGTAATTGAAAAAATCGTTTGACTCAACTATAACAGAAATTTCTCTAACCTAAAGTTTTGAAGTTCCTTAGGAATCACCTTCAAGCTGAAGCTGCAAACGTATCAAATTTTCATGCGCTTAGTGCAGACATTTTGCGGTAGGCGGAGCATAAGGTTTATGGGTGGAGTTTGCCATTCTAGAACCTATATTGATTTGTAGCAAGCTTCGAAAGGTACACGTAGATGTATTAAAGTATGGGTCAGTGGCGGGACAGAGTGCATCTTTCTAACAAATAGGACGTTTTTGAAAATGAAAAAATGAAGGGTTCAGAGATAAAAATACTTTGACTTTGCAAGATTGCGAATTTGCAGCTTTTTACAGAACTTGCTTTCCTCTACCAAGTGCTATCCACGATTTCCATTAGTGTTACCGCAAAAACCGGATGCAGTGTTCGAGAACTTCTTACACTACTAACAATCCAATACTTACCGTTTGTGATGATCTGTCCAGGTTGGAATGACAATTCCGATTCATGGTCTGGCGTACATGCGTACAACGTCTTCACACGCCGACTGAATGAAGAACAAAGAAGATTTGACTAATAAAAAACTACAATAAAACAGAGGAGGAATGAAGAGAAAAGACGCTATGTACTGATCGAAAAGTATACATTTGTCTACTATATGGCTACTTCAGCTGGCTTGAAGCCAACAACACCGGCACCTACACTGCGGCAACAATTACTTTCTAAAGTCCACACAAAGCTCTACTGCAGTCCGCAGAAAGATCGTTCAGGCTAATGAATTTTGTAAAAATCGATTCAACTGGAGGACAGAAAAAAACAAGATTGTGACTCAATTATTTATAACCAGTTCATTTTTGACAAGTGGTTGCTCAGAAATATTTAAAGTCCGACGAGATTATGTCTAGAATAAATACCAAATTATGATGGATCTTCGGATGACTGTTCTTTCTTAACAAAGGTTGGCCAAAAAATGCAAAGTAGCCCCAAGCCCCAAAATAAAATTTCGAAACAAGCGAAGCATTTCCCAGTGCAACAAAAACATTGTGGCTAAATAAAGAGAATAGCAAATTTCACAGGTGTAGCAGTAACTTTCCAAACTCAATGTGCCAAAAAAGAAAACTACCCTTTCTGCCATCTCTATCCCTTTCGCTACTCGAAAAAGTTCACCGCAGTGACGTTCGCATGTGCGAATTGCGTCGAGTTTATAGTCTATTCGGATACATGCGCGAGCGTTCTCGCCCGCGACGCTTTGCATGTGGGAGCACGTGAAGGAAGAGCAAGCAGAAAAAATCGCTTGGAGGAATGTTTCGCCCACACAAGTCCAACGTGGATGCTCGCACATAAAATCTTATCCACCGCAGCTGATGGTCTCCACTACTGAAAGACGAAATTCCAACTATTGTGAAAAAAGGAGTGAGTTGGAAGAAAAACTTCTAAATTTTTGGTCTACTCATAAATAGATTCACAAACAGCCACTCACTTGTCTAAAACTAAACGATTTTCCCGCGGCACTGTTGCGGAAAGATTTGCATGCGATAGCTCGAAAGTGATTCTAAACTAAATTCATGCCGGAACGGTTACTGATACAGTGACTGACTGGAATGAACTATAAATCGATAAGAAAGGGTGCAACTGCACGAGATAGGATAGAAATGATCATGTACACGAGCGTGGTCGTAAGGGTGTGAACGGGAAGAATTAGGAACCCACCTCGGTTGCAGCGACACAACCGGATTAATGAGGGAGGAGTACATTGGAGAGATGCGTTGTACGGGAGGACAGTCAGAGCACATTAGTGCCGAGAAGTTGTTCGAAGAGGAAGACGGCGCCCCCATAGCTTGAGAACGGGGCACACTGAAACTGAGCCCAGGCAGGTACACGGACGAGCGCATCACTCGAAAAAACACAACACCACACACACGCACGCACACTCTTGGACCGCAACGCGCGCGGGCCGCCGGGTGCGCAGCGTAACGCTGCGCGAGCGGCACGCGCGCCTCACAGTCGCCAATACGCACACTCACCACATACCGTATAGCCATGCATAGAAGCACGAATTCAGGGCGCATGAGAGCGTCTTAAATACTCGAAGCACGACGACTCGGCGTGGCATGCACAACGAAACGGGCATGGTGGATTAGAGAGCGATTGAAGTCGCAGCTCATTCAAGCACAGCTCATTTTCGAGCAGCCATCCGTATACATCGCAAGTAGCTGAACATCACGCACGCACGCGAATGCAATGCGTTGCAACAAGATGCGGCCATCGTTTTGGCTGATGTGTGTGAACTCACTCTACACTATTGAGAACGTTGAGACCCGAGTTTCGTTTGCTCAACTTGTGCGTTATTCTGAATCACGAGCACACGGCAGACATTAGCACTACCTACGTTAAATAAAAGAGTAAAAATGATGAAAAAAGAACTTACGTTTCGCAAGCTAAGGGGTTGTAGGAGGGAGCGTACGATGTGCTCATCTTCGCTAAAAAATTATGGATCAATCAAAAAGAGATGATCCAAAGCTCCACACAGTCGTCAGAAAGTCGTACGGAAGCCAATCAGCCAAAAAAAACACTTTGCAGAAAAGCAAAATTATGAGAAAAATTTTTCAGGTGAGACTCAATAAACCAACTATACTCAGCTTGCGCGGACGTCTGACACAAATCATTTATTACAAATAAAACTTGTGCCAGATGTCGCACAGCGGAGACTATTGGCGGTGTGATTTCGTCCATATAGATTTTACAGGAAAAAGTAAATAAAAATCAAATCCAGAAATATAAACTACTCAAAAAACCATAACCAAAAAGTCACCAACCTTTTTGCCCATCAATAGACACCTTGCTCGTCTTTGGGCTGTCACTGCCACCACTGATCAGTGAATTAAGCGAATCGGAACTTTCGCAACGAGGTGCCCGTGACGATGATGCACTTGCAGCGATTCGTGTTACGCTGCTTGGCATTTGTGGTGGAGTCGTTGGTGTGGTCGCTGCTGAAGTGCTCGGTGCCCCATACGATGGCAAAAGTTTCGATGAGGATGTAGGAACTAGAAAAAAAGGTTATTTGCGTGTAAGATATGAGTCCAAGTGGATGTATACAGACAAAAATTCTTATCATAATCATACATGCTATACCGTTTTGCTGTTTTGATACGTAATACTTGGTAGGCTCACTTCTGGAGACTGACTTTCAAATTATATCAAATTTCAGATTCAAATCAAAAACTGTAAAAAACAAAAGGATAAGGGATTACAAAAACCGACTTTTTCTGGGAGACGCAGAAGGGGATGGGGTGTGGGGAACGCGGAATTTCACGAAGTGTTTTATGAATTGACAAATAATGCAAGCAAGTGGTATTTATTTGTAAATCGAAATAATTTTGGAAGCTAATCAAAGCAGGTTTGTATTCGAAGGCCACCTTTCGAAGTTTCGGTGATAACCATGTAAAAAAATAACAAAGTTTCCCAAAAAAAGTTTCGAAGGTATTATGTAGCTGACTCTAAGTAACTCTCCAGCACCCCTCCCTCCCCTCTCTGGAAGAAAAAACCTGTGAAGGGCACATCTTAACTATTTTAGCCGTACATGCCCAGTTTCAATAATCTTATGGCGTAAGGGAATCTAGCACCCTTGTGCTACTGAAAAACACTTGCACGGGGCAAATAATCATAAAGCGCAGAACTTAAAAACATGCTCTCCATGACCATTTTTTACGCGCAAGTGTTGTCGACACCGTAATCGCACTGTATGAGTCATATCTATTCAAACAAGCTAGTGTAGACCGCAGGTACGAGTAACAGTAGTAACAACCAAACTTTGTTGGTACTCTGTGAATTTCCATACAATTGGAAGAGAGTTTTCGAATGGCGCGAATCTAGAATATTCTGCAAACAAACCTTCAGGAGGAACATCATATATATGACTACTATTGTTGTTTGATGGAGGTGGTGCAGCAGTTGGAGAATTCGAGGATCCCAAAGCTGACACATGAGCTCGAATTGCTGGTGAAGCAGGCATGATTGCTCGTGGACGCGTTGAAGTGGGCTGTACTGAAGATGTTGCCGTAAGCATTAAGCGTCCATTGTCTGCTTGTCGTTCACTGCAAAAAGAGCACACATTAGATTAGCGAAAGAGGATTCCAGCTAGGCAAGTGTGCACTTCTGCAAAGTGGTGAATCCGGTGCGGTAAGCAGAAATGCAGCGAAAAGAATAAGAAAATCATTCCTGCCCCGATTTTGCAGTCTCTTCTATTTCGAAGTTTGTTTTTCACTCAAGTCAGAATATTGAGAACTAGTATTGACCCTAGACTGAGAGAATAGTATGTAACTCCTGATTCCTCTTGTACCCCACCGCTTCTACCCCAAGATTCACTTCTTCGAGAAGTTGCAACATGGTCTATCAAGCTCATCAGAGACTATCAATTGCAATGGAACCGATAGAATTACCCAGAAAAATCACGCGAGATAATCACCAGCGTACTTTCGACAAATATCTAAAGACCTACCGTAACCCTACAGCATTCAAGCTCAAGCTTCTGATACACAGAAGCTCAGTAATTTAACAAAGAAAGTTGCGATGTAAGAGTACGTGCATGAAAGAGCACCTTTTACTTTCTGTTCTAGAAGAGACAATATAAACATCAGCAAAAACCTCATTTTTGTAGCCAAATATTATTACTGCAATAAATTATTAGTACTTACGTCATGGACATCACTGGCTGGCTCGACTCCTGATGAATCGCCCGATGATCAGGTTTAGGCGGACATGGTTGTCCAATGGATTTGGGAGGTTCGGTGCCGAAAATCTGAAAATTATTATTCAGGATCAGATCAAACATGAATGGAGGTGAACTTACCAAAGGAAAAACGAAAGACCAGATTAATACTTGATATGATAATCAAGAAAAGGAAGAGAAACACAAAACATGCTGACCTGTTCACAATGTGCAATCAGCACCTCCACAACGACATTACAGAACTTAATATCCATTATAGCCGCCATAGTTTCTTCCTTTGGCCTCAAAAGTGTAGGTCCAAAGCATACGCCCAGATTACCAACGGTCATTAGATTTTCGCTACAGCGGTCCGCGACCCTGAACATATGAAATCAAGGTGATAGACTCAAATCTTTCGTCGAGATACCTTCGTAGATGACGGATAATAATTTCAAGCATGGATTTATGAGCAGGTGGGAGTTTGTGTACATAGTAGTGGATGTGATCAACTCGTGTGCGCCGATCATCCATTTTTGCAGCATTGATGAAAAGATTATGTTGCTCGAATGTCATCAATGGTTCCGGAAGATTCCTGCAACCAAAACACTTCTGGTTTGACCAGGGACTTCAGCTATATGCACTATCAGATAACGTCAACTTGGAAGGTATGTGAACGATGCATTCGCTTGTATAGCATCTCATCTCACACTTGGTTACTAAACCTGAGGCCGTGGGCATACCTCACGCGATTTCCGTCGCCACGCGATCTCGCAATTTGCCTGATATCTTCAAATTAATACTGGCAGAGTCCAAATGCACAGCATAAATAACTTCTGTAGGTCGATAAAGTCCTATCTTCCGTACGTTCAAAAAAAAATAGAGTACCGCCAAATCGCGCCGCGATTGAAATCGCGTGAGGTATACCCAGGCCGAAAGCCGGATCTGGATATGGCTATGAAAATTCAGAAAGATCATTAAATCAGCAAGCCACAAAAAGAGCACGCTAGTTTCGATGAAAATTTGAGTTCTCTCCTTTTCCAGCCATCAAACATAGTAAATCAAAAAGAAATTTTTGCTCGCAGGGTTTTACGAATTCGATTAGGTTGGCTAGAAAATAAGTTCGTTTTGGCATACAAATCTTCATGAAAATTTTTCTTGTTGTTTTCTATCTATACATGCTACAAAACCACTGAAGTGTTCTTTCCAAACATAGTAAACATTGGACAAAAATTTGTCTGCAGCATTTGTAAGAGCCGCAAAAACGACCGAACTTATTTATTAGTCAACCTAATACAATTATGCTTATATTATTACTTAGACTTCGTGAATCTAAATAAAAGTATTCGAAGAGGCTCATGCACACTGAGAAACGGAAAGCTTGTCAAAAGTGCATCTACAAGTGACACGTCATATCTTTTAGTAAGGAGCTCTATCTTCAACTAGCTTCGAGAAAGTGAGCACAAAGTTGCTATTAAGGAAAGAGGCAATTAGTATCAGAAAGTTTCGCAGTTATTCCAGTCCTGTAGTGTCTACTCATTCTCTCGTTAGAAAGTTAAAATCCTATCAATATCGACATTAGAAACTCTGGTCATACTATATATTGGCAAAAAAAGCTATAGGATTTTTTGAGCAAGAGTCCGCAACTCAAAGCACGACATGCAAAGAACTTCGTGCGGACTCATTTGTTATGCAAACTTTGTATTCAAAAAAGTTCAGCAATTCCCGCACTCCTCCGCACATAAAAAGATGCAAAAAGTTGGAAACGCACGAAACCAATTTCTTAAAAAAAAATTAAAGGTAAATAAGAAATTTTGATTTTGTAGCCTACATGGGAACAAATACGTAGAAGTTCACTAGATCGCAACGGTAACACAGGTGTTCCTTCCTCTCTCCTTTCTTCTTTTTTATCCCCCCCCCCAGCCTCTATTTGCAAGCAAAAAAAGGACTTTCGCTTTTTGTTTCTAACTCAGGACTCGGCACGAGCTGGCACCAGGAAAATTTCAAAGCGAAGTTTCCTTTGGTCTTGAAAATTTTGTACGAAGTCGCCTTTGATTCTAAACCCTTAACATAAAAGCCCCTTAAAACGAAACGTCGACTAAAGAAAACGTCACAATTTTTGTGTCTTTTTGTCCCAAAAACGAATCAAGCTTGATCCGGTGCCAGCTGTGCCGAGCCTGTTGTGACTTCGCAGTTCGCTTTGATTATTGTGTATAAGTGATGAGTCTCTTGGATAGTCGCAAAGACACCTTCATTAGAGAAACTACGAGTTCCTTCATGCGCAAGTAGTCTTTTTACGACTTTCAGAGCTTCAACGTTCCATTTATGACGGATATCATTCATTAAAAATGTGCGTAAGTTGATGGTTGTTTTAATGACTGGTTTTCGCTATCATTACTTTGACGCATACAAATCACGACATTAAGATCAGCTTCAAATTGATGATATCATGGAGGACAAAGAAGGGTTAGCAAAAAAGGAAACAACTGAAATATAGATGTTTGATAGGAGAAACTTGTACTGCACAATTTGTCACTCCTTATATGCTTATATGCCGCAAAAAAGGAGATTGTTTCAAGAATCATTAATATCGTGAAGCGAAAAAGCATAAAGCCTTAATTTTTCATAGGGGAACACTTGTGAATATCTTCGCACTCTAAGGCATCAAAATTCTGCACATTGCACTCCCAAACTATTCCCAGATATCGCGTTCCTATAAAATTATCCCGACATCCATTCCCCGACCCCGGCGAACAACATTTTTTGATAGAATTTGGCAGCCTAAAAACCGAATTACTTGTGCAAATTGAAGATACTGAAAAAGTGCAAGTAGCGCGCAGCATTCGGTCATTGCACTATGTTCGGACACTTTGGCTTCTTTAGTACTACTGTAAAATGACGTCATTCTCGCGAGGAGGATTCCATATGTTGAGAAAATAATCTAAAAGTTCGTCTGATTACCTTAAAAATGTCTTAACAGCGCTGCTGATTGTTTTGATCTCCCATTCGTCATCGTTGAAATTTAGCTTGTCCCCATTCGATTTTCGTTTGTCGAGACCAAGCTGCATCAACTTTTGTACCTTTGACGTCACTCCGCAATTACGATAAAGACCCTGCTCACGAATTCCTGCAAGAAACACTCATCAATTTGCGTACGCCCACCAGAAAATCTGTCTCGAACCCAAAAGAAAAGCAAAATAAAGAATGAATGATGGCTCTATGCAAACCTCGCTCTTCAAGGAAAGAAATGCACTGCTGCACGAATTCGAACCCAGTATCATCCAGTTGGGCTGAAAAAGAGAAAAAATCGGTAATTTTTTCATTTCACTTGTCAACACTTCGCAGTACTGGCGATGGCTGTATAAATTCACCTTTTTTGGAACATAGTTCACATTTGCTCATTTCCCTGATTTACTTGCCGTCAGATTCTAATTCATAAGGTGCAACTGCACTTCATAAAAGCGAAAGCTAGCTCAAGAATCCAGCGAAATCACTCAAACAATGGCCGTTCTCTGACTGTTTCATTAAAGTTCTTTGTGTTTTAATGGACCTGCACATCCCTCAAGTATTTGAAACTACATTGAAAGATAGTGCAATTGCACCAGTAATTCAAACATTTGACGGAAGGCACACGTCATTGTTCAACGTGCTTTTCAGTTAGGGAAGAGGCTGAAGTGCAATACTGTGCCATGGAAAAAACACTTCACTTCGTGACATTTATCATTTGCATAAGTATACTTTCTCCCCAGAATGATTTATTTGCAAGATAACTTCAAGAAGTGCAGCTCTTCAAAGTTCAAACAAAAGAAAAAAGCATCGAAGAAGCCTAAATAGAAATTTTCAAGAGAAGTGGGAAAAATGCTGGCGCCATGGCTACAACAAACTCGCTTTTTTTTCTAAAAGTCGCAGTCTTTAGTTTTGTGCGAAATGATGCTACCCATAAATCATAAGATAGCCAAAGCATAAAGCTAACAATGACCGACGTTGATTAACGATATAACTGTATATTAAGAAGAAAGCTAAAAGTTATCCCATTTGCGTCTTCGGTTTCCACGCTACAAAACGTTTATAAGATTTGATTTTCTTTGAAAAATAAGTACCATGACAGCCTTCTACAACAAAGGCTGGCAAAAATGCAGATCCTTTGTGAAACGATCGTAGTCCATGTGCGATGTTGTACGCTCCAACTACTGGCTGGTCCGGAGCCCAAGATCCATGTCGCGCCTTTTGTTGCTGTTGAGCCAGAAAAGCAGGTCGTGTAACGGACATTCTGCGGTAAGGAGGAAAATCACTTCAGGAAACAAAGTTTGACGATTTACCAAACGGAGCGTCGAGATTAGATAATCAGAGGAGAAATTTTGCAGAAAATCATAGAATTTTTGAATCCGAAAGCGTTGGGACTGGGCAAAGTAGGCTATTGAACAGACTCTTGAACATTCTGACAAAAAGAATTCAAAAAAAAGAAGAAGGATATGAATGAACGTCACTGCCATGGAGAGTTCCGACCACAAAAACTGATGGTTTTGCAACAAATAGATCAAGATTAGAGCTAGATTATCGGTTCGTGAGATTTATCAACAATAGGATAAACGCCTCATGACACTTCATTATCAGATGATCTCATGAAAACAACATCAGCCTCCTGTAAATTGCCTTCTGAACGTCAACAATAAGGATGCAGGGCCATACTAAGAAAATAGAGGGAACATTCTAGTCAACAGTTGAACCAGATGGAAAGAAGAAGGAACCCTATGCATGAACATTCAAACCGCTTTCCCTTCTCATGTAACCATCGAAATAAAGTCTAATTTCCTTGAAAGACAAAAGATTCTAGCTTCCTTAATTCCAATCTAACATGTAAGATGAAATCTTATATCATCTCTCAATCGCCCAGCTAGAGAGATATAGGAGCTGCCGAATCGACCGAGGCACCAGAACCGGAAGAAGATGCACGTCAAAACAGAGAATGAGCTGGGAAGAGACTGGGTCTGGAGCTCTTCTGCCCAATAGGACAAAGCGAAATGAGCGCGACAATGAGCTGAATTGGAATGCAGAACAAAATGAGTCAGGAACGCAGCGGACATGTTCTAGATAACAGAGCCGAAGCCGACCCACAGAGTTGGAATAGAATCCGAGAAAGGTGCTACCAGATAGAGTTTGGATGCACGGGGCGGGCGGATGGCCGACTCAATCCAATTTGCACCTCGGGGAAACTAAGTAGGCAAGAGATGCGGCGGCAGTGGTGGCGGCGAAGTTTGGACGAGCCAGAAGCTGTGCTGTCAGTGATGGTGAAGCGATGCCAAGCAGATGAGCTTCCAGTAAAAGGAGATCTTCCGCGCCAGGCATCTTGCTGCTGTCTCAAAGAAAAACGATGAACAAACAAAAAATATCGACGCTGACATCATGCTATCCATTCAGACAAAGCGGACTGGAAGTAGCGTCTCGCGCATCTCTGCTGGCATTCACCATTTAATGGCTGGGTGGTATGTGCATCCATTTTGCAGAATGAAGAGACAGACGGAGCAGATAGTAGACTATGCTATAATTAAGGGACTGAGTTAAAGTACCGCAGCCACATACTAATGAAAAGCTCAAATCATCCCGCGCTAGATGGCGGTAATGAGGAGTCTTTAGTTTTGATGCTATTCGGTAGAAGACACTCCCACACTGAAATGTCTTGAAGGCACCGTTCACCGAAATTTGGGGTATGAGATTTCGAGGAGGCTCCCCATCAAGTAAACGCCCAAGTCTCGCTGATCGCTCCAAAAGGTTGAAGGGGCGGTGGTCGCTCCGCCCATCAACGTGGGTGGTCTAAAATAAGAATCGGGCTTGAATGTGTCCGAAATTGTCCAGAACCCTCCCTTGATGGTGGTCAGCAAACTTTCAACAGTTTTGAACATTGCTGAACCCAATTCTGGATTCATATTTCAGAACAATCACGTTGATGAGCAGAGCACCACCGCCGCTTCTACCTCCTGAAGCGATTTTCCCGCTTTGGGATGCGGCTTTTGCAGCGGAACTTGGGCGTTTCTTAGTTGGGAACCCAACTATTGTACCGTACCAAGATCTCATTACCCTTCACTTGGGTGACGGTGCTGCGAGTGCTTAAGTGCTGCGACAAAAAGTGTAGATGCCGAAACGCTACCAACACATTTTTTTGCTGGTACAATCCCGCTTGCTACAGTGAACGGAAGGAGCACATAAGCGCAAAAAGAAACGGGTTCATTTTGCGGCATAGTATCACTCGCGGAGAGATAACAACGCCGAGCATCGCGTCAAGATCGCAGAGCCTACGACTCGTTCTGACACTTTTGAATAGTCAGTATATCTATGCATTCTAGGCATTACCACTTCCCTTCAAATATCGTCGGATTCAAGCGACAAGTAAGCTAAGAAAAAGCTAAAAAGTACGCTCAGAAGTTTGCCCAACTAGCTTTCGAGAGAAATGTGGAGACACTAGAAGCAGATGAAAGAAAGATGTCAAGTGATATGACGTAAATGATCTAGATAGAAATCTTTTCCATATGCCGAAAACATACCAAAATACATGAGAAAAACATTCAAACAAAGCAAGATGTTCCCATATAAACTATCCATACGGCGAAGACATAAAAGTCCAAAAACATCTAATGACCATGAGCCAATTATTTTTCAAGTAGACAAGTGATTAGAAGAAGACTAGACCGTGGAAAAAAAATTGTGAGGTATGCGAGGCATAGCCGGAAAGCAGCAACCACTATTGGGAATTTCGTGCACTGCCAAAGTCAATTAGTGTTCAGAGAAAATACAATTGACAGCGCTCGAAATTTGGATGAAACGGACTGCTTTGGCGTCTAGCGCCGTTCCAACGGCATGTATTCGGGATAAATAGAGGAGCTCATGATAGTCAGATTGGATGGATGTATTAGACTTGACAACTTGGTTATTTCGCCGCTTCCCACTACCACATAGTGCAAGAAAAGGCAATCAAGTATATGAGAAAGTACATATTTGTGAGGCATTTCACACGAAAAAGATTTCAAAGCTGGAGAAACTGCCAATGAATTAAATGTAATGAAGTCTATTGTAATTGATATCGATTTTCTTGAGAAAGGATTTTGAACAGAAACAAAAACTTTAGCATTGGTACTTCTTTAACCATAAATTATAAGCAGCTAAAAAAAATATAATGTTCTAAATTTTATTACTGCAATATTGGTTACGTTACCCACTCGAAAAACAACTCTCCACACCACCCCATTTTTCTCTCTCAACGGATATTTCTTTTTGAGTAATCAGTTACTCATCACGAACACCGGTTCAAAACTATTTTGATTCGTCCTAAACTTCCGTCAAACACCCGCCAACATACTTCCGATGCGATTTGCAAAGTCAATCAACAAAGTAAATTCAGGAAAGAGTGATTACTCAGTTGTAAACCGAGATCAACCGCATCAATTCACTTATGACTCATAAAGAAAATGGATTACTGCTTACAACAGATATTACATCAGGATTATTGTACTCTGATAATTAAACACGATGCGTCCTTTGAGTTTTGTGCCGGTTTTGTTAGTTTTCTCGTGATGTTTATCATACTTCTCATCCAATTTTCTCGTTGACCTAATAAACATTTGTGGGACATTTTTTGTAATGTTCATCGCACCTTCACATCGAATTCTGTCGCTGAGGTAACAAACAAAGTACTGATTGTAAGTTGCAACATAATTTTCATTAAACTCAAAAGCAACAATCTTCGCAATTTCTTGATAAATTTTTCTTCACTTTTTAGGGTTTGTAATTCTTTTCCTGTTTATCTACATGTCCCACACGAAAAACCTAGTTTCCGAATTTCTGGAGTTTTCTCAACCGTTTTTAGCGAATTTCCAACTTGCCTTATTGAAGAGGTCAAACCTCCACCCGGACTACATTCGCCGCTAAAGTCTATAAGAAATTCAAAAAGTTGGGAAAGAATGAGAGATAATGAAGTGCCGAGAAGCCTTTAGTTTCTTCTTTTTTTTTTGTGAGCCAAATATGACATTCTGCCAAGATATCTGGAGTTTTTGGAAATGATGAAATTGTAACAAATCTCATGTTACAACCTAATAATATAAACACTCAAAATAGAACAGCGTCCCAAAAAGAAAATCATGAAAGCACCAACTTTTCCAGTTCTTACGGTAAGGCAAGGCACCAAAGACTGCAGAAGCGCAACACTTATCCTGCTCTATGCATAGCATCATTAAGTATGCATAAAAATTTGATAACTCGAATGAGATGCATACGGCGGATGAGAGGCCAGCAGCAGCGT